CTCGCCAACCGGGAAGACATCGACGCCACGCTGCGAGACCAGCGCCCGCCGGAGCAACGCCCTGACCTTCCGCATTGCCAGGCCAGCGACCTTCGTGTCCCCAAGAGCTACAAAGAGGCCATGGCGTCGGAGCACCGGCACCTTTGGAGCGACTCTATGCAAAGGAAGTTATATGGCTTGTTGGAAGCGGGGACTTTTACTCCGGTGAAGTAGCAACTAGTGGAGAACGCAATTAACGCTAAGTGGGTATGTATTCGATTGGAAGGCAGATGAGTTTGGATGGCCCACTAAGGTTAAGTCGAGACTTGCAGCAAGAGGTGATATACAGAGAGAGTGCATTGACTTTGGAGAGTTGTACGCGCCTACCGTTTCTGTTTCATGTGTTAGGATGTTGGCTGCTTTGGCGTGCGAGTTGAACCTCGACTTGTGTCATTTCGATGTTGAGCAAGCTTTTGTGCGTTCGGAGTTGGAGGAAGACGTGTACATGCGTTTGCCGCAGGGATGTGGAGCTCTATCTGGAATGATTGTAAAACTAGGCAAGAGTCTGTATGGCTTAAGACAGGCATCTAGGCAGTGGCATGCAATGCTGAAGAGGTGTTTGGTGGCGTTAGGATTTGAGCAGTGCATGGCCGATGCTTGTGTGTTTCGTTTGATTGAGGATGTATGTGTTGTTTTGATTTTGGTAGTACAGGTAGATGACATTTTTGCTGTTGGAGAGAGGGAGAGATGTGATAAGTATGGCGCCGACCTTAACAAGTCCGTGCCAGTGAAGAACCTGGGAGAGTTGAGATGGTATTCTGGGTGCTTTTACGAGAGGAATAAGGAGACCGGTAGGTTGACGATTTCTCAGCAGACTTTCACGGACGAGCTAGCAGCAGAATATGGAGTAGTGGGAGGTAGGAGCGTTCCGATGTCTTCGGGTGTGAAGCTTTCTGATTTTGATGCGGATGAGGTGGCGACAGAGTTTCCGTTTCGTGAGCTGGTAGGATCGTTGATGTGGCTGGCGACTCAGACTAGACCAGACATTGGCAGTAGTAGCTAC